CTCGGAAACCCAAGGAGGGGTTGCTATGAGTTGGTTCTGACTTGACGGCACATAACAACAACAACAACAACAACAACATATCCCCCTCATCCCAGTCCCCACACTAGAACCCAAACCCACACTTTTGAGTCAGGGTAGAACCAATCCATAGGGTTTTCAGTGGCTGACTTTCCTGAAGTAGATTGCCAGGCCTTCTAAGGTACATCTGGGTGGAGTTGAACTGCCATCCTTTTGGTTGGTAGCTGAGCAGTTAACCATCTTTGCCACTCAGAGACTCCCCTACTCCCTGGTAACTACCAGTAAATGTTTGTATCTATGCATTTGCCTATTTTAGAAAGTTCATATAAGTAGAATCATAATAATATTTGACCCTTTGTGTCAGACATATTTCAGTTAGCATAATATTTTCATGGTTCACCTGTGTTGTAGCATGTATCAGAACTTCATTTCTTTTTATGGCTAAATAATATTTCACTTTATGTATATACCACATTTGTTTATGTTTTGGACACTTGGATTGTTTCCAGCTTTCTGACTTGTGCTGTAGTGAACGTTGGTGTACAAGTGAGTATCTGTTTGAGTTTCTGCTTTTGAGTCTTTTGGGTTGTATACCTATAAGTGAATTCCTCGGTCTTAAAACGTACGACATGCAGATGACACAGTCTTGCTTGCCGAGGACTTGAAACACTTACTGATGAAGATTAAAGACTACAGTCTGTAGTATGGGTTACACCCCAACATAAAGAACATGACAGTCCTCACATCTGGACCAATAAGCAATATCATGATAAATGGAGAAAAGATTGAAGTTGTCAGGGAGTTTATTTTACTTGGACCCAAAATCAGCACCCATGAAAGCAGCAGACCCTGTACTGCCCTGGGCAAATCTTCTACAGAAGACCTCTTTAAAGTGTTAAGAAGCAAAGATGTCACTTTGAAGACTAGGGTGTGCTTAAACCAAACCATGGTATTTTCAATTGCTCCGTATACTTGTGAGAACTGGACAGTGAGTAAAGAAGACCAAAGAAGAGTTCAACTTTGAATTTTGGTGTTGGTGAAGAATACTGCAAATATTTTGGACTGCCAAAAGAAACAAGTCTGTCTTGCAAGAAGTACAGCTGGAGTGCTCCTTCGAAGTAAGAATGGGTAGACTGTGTCTCGCCTACTTTGGTCATGTCAGGAGGGACCATTCCTGGAGAAGGCTATCATGCTTGGTAAAGTGGAGGGTCAGTGAGAAAGGGGAAGGCCCTCAACAAGATGGACTGACACAGTGGCTGCAGCAATGGGCTCAAGCATAGCGGGATTGTGAGGAATGCACATGACCAGGCAGTGTTTCATTCTGTTGTGCATAGGGTTGCTGTGAGTAGCAGCCTACTTGACAGGCACTTAACAACAGCAACATTGTAATTTTTTGTTTAACTTTTTGGGGAACTGCCAAACTCTTTCCCACAGAAGCTGCACCATTTTACATTTTCACCAGCAGTGCCTGAACATTACAGTTTCTCCACATTCTCACTAACACTTGTTATTTTCTGCTTTTCTAATAACAACCACCCAAGTGGGTGTGATAAACTTTTAATTAAGTACTTATTTTAATGGAAAATGGATTAAGATCTAAGATATGTCAAAAAAAAGAGAAATACACACACACACACACACACATACATACATGCATACATACATACACAGAATTAGGAAATTGGAGAAAGACCTGTCTCTGCCATCATTCTTCCATTTATTAAAGGACCGTCCTGCCCTGCCTCAACTGTCTTGGGTAAAGTTGACTTCGCAGTTGTCATATACCAGTTCTCATGCTTCGATCTCAGGACCAAAACACATTTAAAAAAATTTGTGAGGATCTCAAGGTGCGTTTGTTTATGTGGTTGTAACTTTAGAAATTAAAACAGAAATGTGGGAAACATTAGAATCCATGATCCACATATTCCATTAACTGTCAGTGGTTACGTCATGTGGCCTCTGGAAAGCTCCGTTGTGTGTTTATGAGAGAGTGAGAATAGAAGAGACCAATAACGGCTTAGCAGTTGATGGGAATGGTTGTGATCTGCCAAACCTCCCAGAAGGGAGGGTCCTCAGCCCACACTTCGAGAACCAATACTCTAGCTCGTTGATTTGTTTTATCATTACCTGAAAGTTCCCATTTGATTTGTTTCTTTTGCGTGGATGGGTGGGCATAGGTTCAGCTCCCTCTGAGAGAGACCCACAATTTCAGAGGCTTTAGGAGGATAAAAGTTTCTGTCTCATGTCATTGTCTAGGATTGATCAGGCAGGGTTCAGATGGTAGCCCCACAGTGTTAGGGACCCAGGCTTCTCTGTTGTTCTGACATCCTGTAACATGTGGCCCTTGTCCAGAATGCCTTACTTGACCTAGGGCTATGTAGCCAGCAAGGAGGTAGGGCTCACCATTTCTCATGGGTACAACCTGGATGTTGCATCTGTCACTTCTGTCCGTGTACAGTTGGCCAGAATTCAGTTTCATGGGCACACCTGCTAGGGAAAGGAAGCTAGGAAATGTGGTCTTTATTCTGAGTGACTCAGAGTAAAAGTGGGTGTTGTATGGGAAGAAAGGGAGAATGGCTACTGGACCACAAATAGCAACTCTGCTTCACTTCTGCCTTGGTGTGAACTCTAGGGCTGCCCTATCCATCACCTTAAGTGCCCAGTGCTTAGAACAGTGGGTACTTGATGCATCCTTTTAGGAATATGTCCCGTAATATATCGGGGACTCAGTAAAATGAAACTTCCATTACTTTACAGCCACAAGGATTCCTTGCTGGTCAGGTCTCTTCAGTTCCTCAGATTAAATGATACAGGTTCAGAGTAAGGAACACCTTGTCATTGAATATGGTTGTTCCTCAAAACTCAAAATCATAAAAAGACCAGGTTTACTGGTCTAAAAGAGCCTGGTGAGACACCCAAGACTGTGGTCCCTAGTTACCCTTCAGGTCTGGAATTGAACTCACTCCCATGGCTTCTAGCCAAACAACAGACAGGCATGTACGGTGAACATTTACATCAGGTAAATACACTCCTTAGAACGATCAATTGTGGGAGAACAGAAGGGCAGTATTTGCACAGGGAGATAGCTCAGGGGGCAGGGATGTATAGGAAAGAAGGACACAGGGAAGAGGTAACTACAGGGAGGAAGTGGGAAGAGAGGTGTTACATTGTACAGTCAATATCATGAAACAAATGAAATTGCTCTGTAAACTTTCACCCAAATAACAATAAAAATTTAAAAAAAGAGAATATGGTTGTTCCTGAGTTTCGGATAGGAAGAAGTGGAGCTTTGATAGCAGATAGTTCATCTGAAGATATATCCAAATGACTTCAGTTCCTTACTTTGGATAGTGAGAGTTTGGATTGCATGGAATATGTGAATATACTTGGGTAAGCCAGTCTGGTAGGCTGGGTGAGTCATATCTGTGCAACAGCGGATGCTAGATCAATGTGAGAAATGATTGTGGATTAACAGTTCTATTGGTATTTGCAGAGGAAACTGCCTGAGCAAGACATTGCCCAAGGATCATACATTGCCCTGCCTTTGACGTTACTTGTTCTGTTGGCTGGTTATAACCATGATAAGGTAGGAAATCCAGAGACGTCATGAGAAAGCAGGATGTGTCAGGGAGAGTGATTCCTCATAGTTGTGGAAGTCGCTTCTGAAGAATGGCTGGTGTCATAGAAATTATACAATTAAAAAAAAATGCGTTGTAGTCAAATACATACAAAATAGGCCCTTTCAAACATTTTTAAATATACATGTCAGTGGCATTAATAATTACATTCATAGTGTTGTGCTACTATCCCACTGTCCATTTCCAAATGTTTTCATTACCCGAAACAGAAACTTCATACCTTATATAGAAATACCCCATTCCCTCCCATCCCCACCCCCAACCTTGTAATCTCTAATCTACTCTCTGTATCTATGAATTGATCTATTCTAGAGATTTCTTATAAGTGGAACCAATATAATACTTGACCTTTTGTGTCTGGCTTCTTTCTCTGAGCATATATTCAAGGTTCGTCCATGTTGCAGCATATATTAGAACTTCATTCCTTTTCATGGCTGAATGACATTCCATGTTATGGATATATATCACATTTTGTTTATCCATTCATCTGTTGATGGACACTTGGGTTGTTTCTAGAAATTACAGAAGGCATTGCATGAAGATAATAACTTACCATGATCTGAGGGTGGCCACTATAATCTGTCTCATAATTTTGCTGATAAGAATCAACATAAAGCTGGCTCCACTCAGTTGAGTATATCTCTAGTTTCCCACTTCATTATTTCTGACGCCAGTCACTCCCCCACAGCTTTCTCTTTCACTATTGGTTTTGATAATTCACTGCAATGGTCATATAGAACTCAGACTACACATAATTATGTGGTTTATTAGGGTAACACAGAAGTAACAATAGAATTTGGGATGCAATTTAGAATTAATGTCAGGACCATCAGATTACAGCTCAGGATGAGGTACACAGGTGAGGTCTGGAAAGGTCTCCAAAGCCGAGAGCACGTCTCTCCTTTTGTCCATGAGTAATCTCTTCAGGCAAGACAAGCTCTCGGATGGCCCTAGCCTAGCCGTCTCTCAGATGGCTGGCAGCATAATAGCTCTTGAAACACAGCTACTGTCAGGACACCCCCTGGTTGGGCTAGCCCCTGCTCTTGGAGCACCTTCTGCTCGAGGCACCCCAGCTGTGTGTGGCCGCCTTTTCTCCAGACAGCCCCTCCAGTCAGGCAACCCCTTGTAAGAAAGCTCTTGGCCAGGACAGCCCTTGGAGCAGAAATGACCTCAGCCTGGGTTCAGCCTTCCCACTCTGCTGCTGCTGCTGCCTAGACCTCCTCGTTGTCTCTGCAGCCGCTGTGGCCGCACCCAGCTCTAAGCATGTTATAGCTCTTTTACTCAAGGCTGAGAGGGCGTGGTACTTCTGTGTCCTAATGGATGCATCAGCCTTCTCTACTCTCAGCCAGGAAACACCCCCAAAACCTCCATGTCAGCCCTTTTATATAAGCCAGTCCTTGTGCAGCACTAGGTGGGGTCCCCAACCAACCTGGGCAAAAGTAATAATCCCTCAGTGATCTCAGCTACGAGGACCAAAAGGCCAAATTGCTTTTGGTGAGATGATTCCAGGCATCAAATCTAATCCCTAGTTCATCTCTCCAGACTAACATCTCTCTTAATGTTTAAATCTGGATTACATCTAGAGATGTTCTATTTGGGGAGAGCTCTCAGCCTCTCTCTGGTGAGGCCTCGGTAGTACAAAGACATGCTTTATTTTGACCTGAAATGCACTCATTAACACACAATGGGTGTAACAGTGCCAGAAGAAGGGAGGTGTGCTGGTATGTGAGACTCGGGAAGTGTCCATCTGGACAGAAGTCTTCTCCTGGCCATTTCTTTGATATACTCTCTCTCTTTCTAGCTCATTCCTTTGCTGCTACAGTTGACAAGCCGACTGCAGGGAGTCCGTGCTCTTGGCCAGGCAGCCTCTGACAATAGTGGCCCAGAAGATGCAAAAAGACAAACCAAGAAACAGAAGACAAGGCGGACGTGAGGAGGAAAGGGGCCAGTTGAAATCTGACCTGGGACAAGCCAGCAGCAATGGGCTACCATTCACTAGGGCTGAAGGCATGCATGTGACTAACTTCAGGCATGTGCAGTTTGCCCCACGCTCCCTGTCATTGTAGCTGCTTGTTCCTGTTCTCCCCTATAGGTGGCCCCCAAGGCAATGCTATGATTGGACCCTCCTGTCACTCTGCTGAATGCAGTTTTCTGTGTTGAAGATAATTTATTATCATTATTTGTCAGTGAAGTATTTTAAGCTCTGTTGGTGATGTGAGAATGTAATTCTTATCTTCAGCATTCATTTGCAAGAAGAATGCCAGTAAACATGGTTCCTTGTTCCATAATGAAGTACCTTTTGGAGTTATCTTTTCCCTTACTTCCCTTTGCATTTGGAATCCCTTCTGGAAACTGCAACAACCGTATCCGTGGCAAGGAGGATGTACTAGGATGTAAAAAAAATCAATAAAATTGCCCATTTGTGTTTTAGTTCATCTCGGGTGTACTTTTTGTGCTCTTGGCATAATACTGGGGCCACAAATTGAAATGCCTGTGAGGCAGGTAGGAGTCCTCAATGAAGAGGGCTGGGGCAAGAAAAGTGTCAGCATGGAGGAGATGATAAATGGCAGCTGTCCTTTGACTTCAGTGATAAGACACTGGGGACTGCACATTGAAGAGCCCATCTAAAGAGCCACAATTCTCAGCTCCAGCCCACTCTTGCCCTGCGGGAATGCACATCCATTTTCTGTGAGACATCAGAAAGTTTTGTGTGAAATCTTCCAAGTTTTAAATGTTAGCAACAACAACAACAACAAAAAAGTACAATTTGGGCCAATAAAATGCATATGTAGGATGGGTGAGGCTTGAAGGATGCCAGTGTGCAAAAGGGATCCACGGGAATTCACAGCCCGTTAACAACATTAACTTAATTCTTGTAGAAGTGATTAAGTTATGTATGTTGAAGCAGGGATTCATCTATCCCTTCAACATTGACGGAATAGCACACATGACAGATACTAGGGACACGAAGGTGAGTAGAACAGACAACACTGAACAGTCTGAAGAGTGAAGGACCACATCTGCTTTGTTCCTTGTTGTATCCCCAGTGCTTGGCCTGCAGCAGACATTCAAATAGGAATGAATGAGTGCGTGCGTAAGTGAGTAGATGGGTAGGTACCTAGCTCCTGCCTTCACAGAGCATGCACAGCCCATGGTTGCGTGGAGTGCAAACTGGTAGCCTAGAACAGAGTACAGCGAGCTGAGGGATCTCGGTGGAGGAAGCTCAAGGGCGCATGGGAGCACAGAGCAAGGGTCTAATCTGGCCTGAGGGCTTGGTAAAGCTTCCTGGACAGGATGCTTGAGCTGGGTCTGGAAGGGCAAAGAACGGAGAGAATGGAAAAATAGGGCAGAAGCTTGTTGGGTGTCGCCACCAGGGCAGAGGATCAGCTTGAAGGATTTCCTGGCTCTTGGTGGCCACCTGAAGAGCTGCTTTGTTCCAGGCAGCAGCTATTGCAGTGTTGGCCATTTCACTGATTTTCTTTTTTCAATTGTGAAAATACACATAATAAAACATACTCCAACTCAGTAATTTCTGCCTGTACAATTCAGTGACGTTGATTACGTTCTTGAGGAGTTGCATAACCATTCTCACTATCCTTTTCCAAATTATTCTACCACCATTAACATGAACTCCATGCTCTTTAAACAAAGTCTTCCCCTTTCCCCTACCTGCCACCCCTGGTAACTGCTAATAATCTTTGTTCTGTATAATTTGCTTATATAAATGAGATCACATACGATTTGTCCATTTGTGACTAAGTTTGCACAACGTGATGTTTTCTAGATTCCTCCATGCATGTGGCGTGCAATGGGACTTCATTTTTCTTTCCAGCTGAGCACTGTGTGTATATACCAGATTTTGTTTATCCATTGATCTGTTGATGAGCACTGGTTTGTTTTTTCCACTGTGGAAGTAACTGAACTCTTGGAAATCTGGGACAGATATACATAATCCATTTTTTGGAGTGTTTTCTAACTCTTATTCCAAGTGGACATCCAGGAACATCTCTCTGAAATGTTAATGGGCTTTTTTATTGACCCAGTGTAAAGGTCAGGAGCTTGTGAAAGATACAGCTAATGTCAATACTTCCTGTCCAGTTTTGGATGCTACCATTAAGTGGCAGTCTTCCCCCACCACTGGCCCCAGGTCACTCTTGGAATTGATATAACTTCTAAAGAGCCCTGCTTCTAGAAAACTGGTCTTTCTCAGTCCATTTGAAAGTTGGGCCTATTCTGTTATATATTGTTTTCTGGCTTCTTGGGAGAAATCCTCTGTGCTTCCTGTGGGAGGTAAGTTAATATTATAGGATTTTGAATGGGGCAAAAGTTATATGAGGTAGGTCGCCCCCCTGTCCCCCCCCCAGAGGATTAAAAAAGAACTACTGTCTAAAATGCTGAATTCTAGGAGAACTTCAACACTTGCCCGGTTACAGTAGGTATTTTAGGTTGGGGTGCCTTTGGAAGATTAAAATGACCATAAAACCTCAGTGAGGACACCCCAAAGAGCTTCAGGGAATGGCCATTTTAAGTTTTACCTCACTCAGACTTCTGAGTTTTCTTTGTTTGAATTTTATCAGCTAACCAACAAGAGGTGTTGAACTGCAATATGTGGAAATGGGGAGAAGTCCCAGAGAGACTGGGAGTGGGCATGAGAGAGAGAGAGAGAGTGTGTGTGTGTGTGTGTGTGTAGATGCTGGTAGTTGCAACAGAAGGAGGTATAGGGAAGTGGCGATCCTTAGGCTTAAGTATTTAATGGTCTGATTGTGAGGAATGAAGATACATGAAATGTGGCAAAAGCTAAAGATTGCCCTCCTGGATTAACACCAGCAGGAATCACTCGCTTTTCTTGAGTAGTTACTGTGTGCCAGGCACTGTACTAAACCCTCCTATACATGATCTGTTGGAACTTTGTAAGATGAGAGAGACTTATGGATCTTGTATCTCTTTAGTGGCAGACTGGGGATTTGAACCCATCTTGAGTTCTTAACCCCTGTGCTCCACTGCTGCTCCTATAAAAAGTGAGTCTGTGTAGTTAGGTGCCAGGTTGTCTGGGGGAATAGTGAGAGGTTTAGAAAGTGGGCATCATGTGAAGAGATGTAGGCATAAGCTGTAATAAAGTTAGAGGCATGGTGACATGTAGTGTTGTGTGCAAGGGAGGGCTGGGTCAGGGGAAGGATGCCGATGATGGAGGGCCTTTTAATTCTAGCATCACTGTTTCTGGAACTAGAGAGCTACGTGAGTAAATGCTTAAATCCAATCCCTTAGTAGCAAGATTTCCCTGTCCTTAAAAGCTGGAGCTACCCAGTTGGGAGGCATTTGGGGGACAGTTTGCCTGGCTGTATTCTGTTTAGTTCAGGCTGAGCACTCAGTTGCACTTCTGTTTCTGAATTAGTCAAAACTCTTGTGGTGTCAAGTAACTCCAACCAGCTTATGCAAGAGGAGGCATTTCACTGATCATGTAATTGACAAACCCTGGAGTATTTGGCTTTATGTGGTGCACATGGTTTGTGCTCAACTGCTCATTTAAAGATTGGTGGTTCAACCCCACCAAACAGTGCTACAGGAGAAAACCTGATGATCTCCTTCCATAAGGTTACAGCTAAGAAAACCCTATGGAGCTGTTCTACTGTGTAACACTGGGAGTCGCCAGGGGTCAGAATTGGCTAAATGGCAATGGATGGATTTTGGTTGGATCCAGGGGTTCTGTCCCCATCTCCTGGCTCTGCTACCTTCTGTGTGTTGTGTGTTGGACTCAAAGCACATTCTCTGAGTGACCAGCAACAAATAGACATATACTTTAAACCAAGTCCAAGACTGCTCAGCTCAGCCAGTGCTCTGCTGGGGCAGGATGGGTCAGGTGTTGGGCATGCACCCACAGAGTGGAGGTTTGGGAAACTCCTTTGCTAATTTGGTCTGCTTCTGTGGAAGATGATACCTGGCAGCATGAGGCCTTTCTTCATCCCAGTTTGGATGCCCAGCAGAAGGAGAACTTCATCTCACAGCACTGCTGTGTCAGCCTGGGGAAGGTGAAGCTGGTAGGCAGACACTGCAGATGCACTGGTGTCTACTAGACATGAGCCGTACCCATGCCCAGTAGGGCGGCAGCAGCTTCTATGACAAGTGCTGTTGTCTCCAGTGAAATAAGTGGTTCTGGGCGGGCAAAACCAATTGAAGTCAGCTCACTTCCTTCAAAAACGTCAAAAACTTGATAAGAAGACATGGTCAAAGTCAGCCACCATTTTTGGCTTTATCTTTTCACTTACAAAATGACCATGAACTATAACATGCCTAGGAGGAGGGGAGAAACTAATTTTATCTAAATTAGTGGGCTGACTGTGTGCTAGATTTCTTGCTTTCCAGCCCTGGGACTTGGTGAAATAGGGAAGAGTTTGAACTGCCAACCTTTTGGTTAGCAGCCAAATGCTCAACCACTGAGCCAACAGGGCTCCTGTATTAGAACAAAACAAACAAGAAAACCAAACTCACTGCCGTCAAGTCAAGTGGTCCCTAAATCGGTGCAGAATCCATGCGTCTGGAGACTGGAGCTTCCCCTCCCTGTGTAGTCCTTGCAGAGGAGATGGTTGGCAAGAGGAGAGAAACCTACAGCTGCTGCATTCTCATTCTATTCCTGCTCTTCAAACCGAGAGAGGTGGTGGCTAACGGCCACTGAGTGATCAGACTTGGGATGTGTCTCTTTTGCTTTGTTTTCATGGGCTTATATAGGTAGGAATAGAGAGAAGGAACATTTTGCTGCCTACTAAGAATGCTGCTTCCCTTGTCCATTTTTCAAGGATTCCTCACCTAAGTGGTGATTGATATTCAACATGCATTTGTTGAATAAATAATTATGGTGGCAAAGAACTGTCTATACATGATGATAATACCAAAAGACTTAACTGGTCTAGTGCAGAGAATAGCAAACTATGGCCCTCA